ATAGTTCTCCTTTTTTTTTTTTGTATTTTAGTATAGGGTCTACAGGGTCTCACACAAATTGGACTTGTAGTGATTCTCCTGTTTTTCAGCCTCCCAAGCACTGGGATTACAGGTTCGCGCCACCATGCCCAGTCTTAATCGCTGTCTCAGCGCACCCAGGGGATGGGGCCAGCATGAGTTCTGCTGTTTATTTTGGCTGCCGGTCAGCCATCCAAACTCTAGAACTTTTCCGTCCCCCTGCATAATGGACCCCTCATAATAAACTCCACTCGGTCCAGCTTTCTCTCCGTGGTGCCCTCATCCCCATGGACATAGCCACTGGCTCCCACATCCCTAGATCTTTGCCTGCACATGTTGGCAGTCATGCCTTGATTTGTATATGTGACAACCCTTCTCAAGGACTACACCTTGCACCTAACTTTGGGCCCTGTGGGATCTGAGTCTGGTTGTAGGTCCAAAAGTACCTGAGGAAGAACCCTCTGAAGAGGCACCTGGAATTTTCTCAGACAGAAAAACAGCTCAGTGGTACTTAGGATACATCCATTTGTCAGAATTGCGTGCCCTAGCTTGTGCATTTGAGTGACTGGCTAGCCAGGTAGTAATCTCAGATACGCAGGAGGCTAAAGCAGGAAGATCACTTGAGCCCAGGAGTTTGAAGCCAACATGAGCAACACAGTGAGACCCTCCCTCACCAAAAGTGAATATTAAAAAGCAATTATTTAGTAATTTTGTGTTAGGATGAGATATGAATGCATTTATAGATGATATAATCTTGATAATTATTGAGCCTAAGAAATGGGTAACTAGGTGTTTGTTATACTGTTGTATATTTAGCTATTCTTCTATTAAAAAATCTTTAAAGTTTGTCTAGTATTGGGCTGGGGCTATAGCTCCATGGCATGAGTTCCTGCCTGGCAAGCACAAGGTCCTGAGTTTGATTTCTGGTGCTAAAAAAGGTAAATAAAAGATTTGTTGGGGCCAGGGAGATGATGGCTCAGTAGAATAAGCACTTGCCCAGCAAGCACAAGGGTCTGAGTTCAATCCCCAGTTCCGCCAAAAAAAAAATAATAATAATAAAATAACAGATTTGTCTGATACTATGAAATTATAGAAGAAATTGCAGTGAACAGTATCTTATACAGTTTTTTAGAATTTCAATTATTTTTAAGATGAATTTTTTGAGCAGAATTACAAGCTTGTGTTATGTGATTATCTTTAAGGCTTTTGATTTATTGGCTTATATTAATTTCTACTTGCATCCACAGTGTATGAGACTGGATATCATCTGTTACCCCAGGTCACTAGTAAGCCCTGCTCAGCTTTGACTGAGAGGCTATGTTGCTGCCCCAGCTGGAAGAATTTTAACTTTCCCTGTGAGCATCTAGGGCAGTGAGGGCGAGCCTTTCAGAACTTTCAATGAGACAACCCAAAGCAGTACCAATGTCTCAGGTTCACCACCTCTGATCTGGGGCATGCGAGGGTCCTGTCTTCAGGGCCATGTGGTTGTGACAATGTGTTGTTGCTTTTAAATATGCAGCTTCTCTAATCAAAACACAAACTTCACTAAGGAGATAGCTCAGCTGTATAAACACCTGCCTGGCAAGTACAAGGTTCTGAGTTTGATCCCTGGCACAAAAAGAAAATGAAGGGGCCGGGGAGATAGCTCAGTAGAATAAGCACTTGCCTGGCAAGTGCAAGGGCCTGAACTGGTTCTGCAAAAAAAAAAAGAAAATGAAAAACTTCTGACAGTTCCGTTGCTTTGGGTTTCCTCTCCACAGGTTCACTGCACCTCAGGCAGAACTCTACGAAGCTGTCCTGGAGGTCCAGAGAGCTTGCCTGGCCCTCTGCTCGCCGGGAACAAGCCTGGAGAACATCTACAGCGTGATGCTGACGATGATTGGGCAGAAGCTCCGAGAGCTGGGGATCGTGAGGAGCAGCGAGGAGAGCAGCGCCTTCAAGGTTCTCTGCTTCTCCTCTAGCTGGCTGTCAGGAGCACCTACTTGCTGCTCTGTTTTCACTCTGGATAAAGCTAGTGCCATTAGAAACTCTACTCTACCAGGACTCAGTAGGTGAAAACAAAGGGAGTCAGTGCTTCCTGCTGCCAGAAGATGGCAGCACCTTCTGACCCATTGCTGCTGCCGCGGAGCCCTGGGAAAACAAAATGAAGTCTGGTGCAGGAAGAGTGAGAAGGCATAAAAAACAGGACAGGGTAACTCTTAGGCTTTTCTGCTAATTCTGGAGGTCAGAGGGGAAAAGTTTGATCTCAGATATTTTCCCAGGAGCACATCATAATGAATTTTACATAATCAAATGTATCCAAAATGTAATGTTAGATTGCTGAACACCAAATTTGCTGTAATAGTGGACGTCAAAATGTAAGGATGCCAAAAAAAAAAAAAGGTGCCCAGTCAAAATGTGAAATTTCAGCTTTTTTTTTTTCCCCTGTATTTTAGTACAGGGTCTACAGGGTCTCACTACATAGATCAGACTCGTAGTGATTCTCCTGTTTTCAGCCTCCCAAGCACTGGGATTACAAGCGCACACCACCACACCCAGTCTCATTCATGTGCCCCAGGGGCAGGGCTGGCATGGCAGGCTGGGGATTGAACCCCGGTCGCTGCACTCTGCCTAAGCAGGCAATTTAGTCCACTGAGCTACCTGGCTGACCCTCAGCTTTTAAAATTAAATGCTGGGCTGGTGAGATGGCTCAGTGGTCTAAAGCACCTACTCAGAACAAGCTTAGCAAAGCACAGGGACCATGGTTCAATCCCCCAGCACCACATGCCAGCCAGCCCCCGCCCCCTGGTGGGCTGAGCTGGCCACATACAAATAAATAAATAAATAAAATTTAAAAAATAAATAAATAAATAAATAAAAATAAATAAAATTAAATGCTATGAGGTCAAACCCGATGGTCCATTAGCATTTTCCACCAGGGCCCCCATTACCCATTGAAAAGAAACTTTAAGTTCCATATTCCTTAGGCCAACAGATCTTAACCTTATTGATGGGAAACCCAAGCTGATAATGCCCTGTAATTATGCCTACTCTACAAGCTGTTGTGGGGTACTTGAGGCTTTTTTTTTTTTTTTTTTTTTTTTCTCCTTTTTTAAGACAGTCCTTTTTTGCAGAACCGGGGATTGAACTCAGGCCCTTGCACTTGCCAGGGAACTTATTCTACTGAGCCGTCTCCCTGGCCCTTGAGACAGTCTTGCTTGCTGTGCAGCTCAAGCTGGCGTTGAGCTCACTTTGTAGCCCAGGCTCTTTTTGGGGGTTTTTTGTTTGTGTGTGTGTGTGTGTGTGTGTGTGCGCGCACGTATTTGGAACCGGGGATTGAACTCAGGCCCTTTCGCTTGCCAGGGAAGCGCTTATTCTACTGAGCCATCTCCCCGGCCCCCAGGCTGTTCTTGAACTCACAAAGATCCTCCTGCCTCAATCCTTGCTGGGATTACAGGCATGCACCGCCATGCCCGTGCACTTGAGGCTTCTTGAGAGGGCTCTGTGAACATTGAGAAGATAACACTCCTGACATGGTCATCTTCTCTTCCCCAGGAATAGAGATTTTCATTTGCCACAGTCATCTGGGACTGCAAGGAACCGTATGTGTAGATTCCATTGCAAGATGGAAATGTGAATTAATCAGGGTGCAGTTGCCAAAATTGCACATGAGAAGTACTAGTTTATCAGAAGTCTCCTTCTGTGCCTCCCACTTTTATTTATTTTGGGGGATACTGGGGACCGATCTCAGGACCAGGCATGCTAAGCACATGCTATACCACTGAACAGCACTCCTAGCCCTGGTATCAGATCTCTTCAGCCAGTGAATAACCCAAGGACAAGTTAAATGTGAGTGGCAGAACCGTCAGGGATATATTAATAGTCATGTTGCACTGATGTACACGTCTCACTTGCCCTTAGGTGGCCACTGCTGTAATGGTACTGGGCGCTCATCCGCACTAGCCACTTTCCCATTGCTGGGTCAGAACACCAAACGCCCGCAACTTAGAGGACTAGAGGTTTGTTTGGCTGACAGTTTTAATGTATTCAGCCCATGGTTACCTGGCTCCAAGGCAAAAACTGCATGGCAGACAGCATGGTGCAGGATCGCTCCTCACCCATGGCAGCCTGGAAGGGCAGGGAGAAGGGAGGAGCCAGGGTTGGGCATGCGCCCTCCCATGCCACAAGCCTAGTAACCTACCTTTCAGCCAGGCTCCACCTTCACACAGCGCAGCCAGCTAGGAACCCAGAAATGGAGAAAGCATGGATGATCTAGTCCCTTTCCAAAAGCCCCACCTCTGAATATCTGAGCTTCTGGGGGGTGCTTTAGGTCTAACCCATAACACCATCTTTTCCAGGCTGCTCGGCAATACTGCCCTCACCACGTGGGCCATTACCTTGGCATGGACGTCCATGACACCCCAGACATGTCCCGCTCCCTCCCACTGCAGCCCGGGATGGTGATCACCATTGAGCCAGGTGAGGAGATGGTTGGCAGCCCCAACCTTTGGGACACGATACTGTGAGGTTCAGCTTGTCTGTTTTAACCTGAACTAACATGATTACACCAGAAGAGACACCACCCAGTATGGAAGATGATGTTAAGATTCATCTTTAGCTTTCTTATTTAACATCACACAATTTGTTTAATTTGGCTTCTCCAATAAACAACAGATGGTGAATACTTTCTATAAGTAGGTATCAAGAAATCTTTTTTATCCTGCCCTTGTGGGCTGTCTGCAGTGGTGGGCTGCGGAGTCTGCCCAAGTCTGGCAGATGCGGACGGAGGCCAGCCTCTGTCCCAGGCCCTGTCAGTTGCCCTGGGCAGCCCATCGGCCCACTGCTTAGCACCCCACGCCCTTCTTGCATGCTCTGGTGACGGCTGACAGCCAAGTATCTTCAGCACCCATGCTGTTTTCCTCACGTCACAATGTTTTCATCTCTCGGGGGCCTGCCCACTAGCTCAGTTGTTTAAGTGCCTGCTTAAACGAAGCAGTCAGTCTCTGAGAGCAGTGGTTCGATTCCCAGATACTCAAGGCAACCCAGACCAGCGCTGGAGGCAATCTGGAGCCACCAAAAAAAAAAAAAACAACAATATTTTCATCTCTCAGTCAAGTCAGTTAGACCTAAAAAATGGATTCGACACCAAATCCCATGTTGCCCCCTTTCCCTTAGATGGCCTCTAGTCCCGTTAATTCAATCCAGCTAGTGAATCATAAAAGGTTTACTTAGACTTTCAGCTACTGTTCTTTTCGATCACAGAGCAGCATCTGTGAAGAGGGAGGGAGAAGCTTGTAATTTCTTCATGGCAAAAAGACCTGAGTGACTGATGTCAGGAGCTGAAAGAGTACCTGGGACTCCTAAGTTTTTCCAAATGTACATTAAAGATCATTATCTCTCTGTTTTTCCCTCTTATCATAGCTGTTAAATTTATAGCTTGAGAGAAGAAAATATTTATTTATTTATTTATTTATTATGTATTTGGTTGTTACAGGGTCTCACCATGCAGCTCAGACTTCTAGTGATCCTCCCGTTTTCAGCCTCCCCCTGCGCTGGGATTACAGGCATGTGCCACCACGCCTGGTCTCTGTGGCTATGCTCCTGGGGTGGGGCTAGCACGGCATGTGGTGCCTGGTATCTAACCCTGGTCCCGTGCTTGCCTAAGCAGGTGCTTAGTCCACTATCTTGCCAGCCAGAAAATCTGTATAATGACTCCTTCTGAGAGCCAGCCAGATAGCGCAGGTGCAGGGACTGGGATTCGATCCCCTGTGTGCTGTGCCAGCCCTGCCCGCCCCCCATGCGCACTGAGAGGTGACTGAGACTGGGTGTGATGGCACAACCCTATAATCCCAGCACTTGGGAGGCTGAAAACAGGAGGATCACTAGAGTCCAATCTGTGTAGTGAGACCCTTTAGGCCCTGTACTATATATAGAATGACTATTTCTGGAGCTTCTGTTAAGGTTAATCTCTTAAGGAGGCTGGAGAGATTGCTTGGCAGTCTAAGCACTTGCCCTGGGTTCAATCTCTGAGTACACTGGGAGCCACTGAAACTGGGCATGGTGGCACACACCTGTAATCCCAGCACTGGGGAGGCTGAGACAGGATCACTACAAGTCCAGGCTGTGTAGTGGAACCCTGTACCAAGTAAATAAATAATTTTTAAAAAATCTCTTCAAGTAGGGGGCCTGTCCATTAGCTCATCTGTTTAACTAATTGCTTAAACAAAGCAGTCAGGCTCAAGATGCTGTGGTTCAATCCCCAGATCCTCAAGCTTTGCCAGACCTGCACTGAAAGCATCCTGAGCCAGCCAGAAGAAAAAAAAAAAAATCTCTTTAAGTATTTAAATACACTTTATCTTAGTTTTTATTTTCATTTGTAGTTGTTTTAGGCAAGGTCTTGCTATGTATTTCAGGTTGATCCTGAACTTACCATGTATCCCAGGCTGGACTTGAACTTGAGGTGATCCCCTGCCTTAGCCTCTCAAGAGCTGGGATCATAGCATGCACCAGCACATCCCACCCTTTTACCCTTATTTTAGCAAATACCCTATTTCTTGGGGACCATTAGGACAGAGGAAGAGTATACCTGTATAATCTACTAGTCCAGCACATACACATGCTTTTAAATATGGACATACTCATAAATTAAATAATTTTAATGGCCTCCTTGAGCCATAAGAAGTGACAGAATCTCTCACATGCCACGCCGGCCCCACCCCCGGGGCAGACTAAGCCAAACCCAGGCGTGGTGGTGCACGCCTGCAACCCCAGTGCTGGGAAGGCTGAAAACAAGAGGATCACTCTAAGTCCAAGCTGCATAGTGAGACCCTGTACCAAATACATAAATGGAAAAAAAAAGAAGTGACAAAGTCACGGCAGTTGTACGGAACCTATAGGCTAATATTCACAATGACTATAATAATTCTAACACTGACAGCCAGCACTGCTGGCCCTTCCCTGCCAGGCTGTGTTTATAGCCCTGTTAGGTAGGGACCTCTAGGATCCAGGTATAGATGCAGAAGTTGTAACACATAGAGGTCAGCTGGCCCCATGTCCCCCAGTCACTGTCCCCAAGGAACATGTGCTCTTCTTTCTACTTCTCAGGCATTTATGTCCCGGAGGATGACAGAGATGCTCCAGAGAAATTTCGAGGTCTTGGTGTGCGAATTGAGGATGACGTAGTGGTGACCCAGCACTCGCCTCTCATCCTCTCTGCAGATTGTCCTAAAGATCTGAAGGACATCGAACAGATCTGCAGCAGGGCATCCTGATCCCTCCGCCTCCCTGCCTCTTCCACTTGCCTGACCACGCTGCAGATGTGCAGAATCATGTGTGGGTGCTTTGTTAAGTGGATGGACATCTGGAAAAGTGAATGTTTGGAGATTTTGTTACTACAGCTTTAGTAACGAATTCTGTAGTTCATTTTTTAAACAGAAAATCAGGTCTTATTCTATATATGGCCATTCATTCCAGTGAGCACACTTACACAGAAAGCGCCCTTCTCTTTTTGGCCCTTCCTTCCCTGCATTTGCACTGAGATCCAGCTAGTATCACATAGGTTTTTGTGTGATGCCTGCATTCTGTCTGAGCTCATGGGTCTAAGCTGAGGGCCACCCATCAGTGACCTACAATACCAAGCCTACCTTCCCTGGGTCCCGCCTTCCAGCACCCCCAGGAGCCCTCGGGGTCTCTTTGTGTTCAGTCAGTTCTGATTCCAGCAGCAACAGATATTGAACAAGATAATTTTGAGCCTTTCTTGCTGCTTGGTTACTGGGACTTGGAGAATAATTAGTTTCTTCATAAAGAAGACAGTGGAAGCGAAAGCAAACTATGTATGTGTCCACCTCGGATCTAGACCTCCAGCTGTCTGTTCTCTTCAGTTTAAAGATGATTCCTTTCTTTCCCAGACAAATATGCTTGCTTCATAGGTTCAGGGTTTTGTGGAGCTGGAGGTCTGACCTTGTTGCCTCTGCTGGTCTCAAACTCGTGGACTCAAGTGATCATCCCACCTCAGCCTCCCACAGTAGCTGGGGTGACCAGCGCACGACGTGGCACCTGGCTCTTCCATAGGTTCTTAATGCATCGACCCTCAGAGCTCACCTTCGAAGCTACTACACTAGTCAAAGGCAGCGACCCTAATAGCCAGCATACCCTGGGTGTAGTGGCACAGCCTGTAATCCCAGCACTAAGAAAGCTGAGACAGGAAGATCTCAGTGAGTTTGAGGCCAGCCTAAACTACACAGTGAAACTGTCTCAAACCACACACACCCCCGAAAAAAAAAAAAAAAAAACACAAAAACATTTTATGTGCATCTTCTTTCAGAACATATATAGATCTCTCCCTACCCCATTCAGTGGTAGGGATCAAACCCAGGCCCTCATGCCTGCCAGGCAAGTGTTCTGCCTCTGAGCTTCACCCCAGTCCCTCCATTAAATTTTTGTAAGGTCAGAAAGGGAAAAGCCGGGCCAGGGAGATGGCTCAGTAGAATAAGCACTTCCTTGGCAAGCGTAAGGGTCTGAGTTCAAGCCCCAGTTCCACAAAAAGAAAAAGAAAGAAAGGGAAAAGCCTTGCCGGGGTCATTCTGTCTTAAAATTAAGGTCCATAAAACAAATCTCCAGATAGATACCGTATCTCTTCAAAATAGAGAAAATCAGGCTTCTATTCTCCAGATGTGTACCATGCACACCTTCTTTGGCTTTGCTACAGCCACTGCAGTGTGGCGCACAGTGCTGCTCCGTCTCCCATGGCCACATCCGTCTCAAGGGGCACTTAGGTAGGCTACCCAGGCCCCTTGTCCTGGTGTCCCCAATGACCATTGCTGTAGGACCATTGGATTTGTGCTGGGCTCCTCCACCCTGCTTAGCTCGTGTGTGGTAGATGCCCATGAAGCTTGTGTGTGCAGCAGGAAGTGAGGGCCCAGAAAGGACCCAGCCCGGAGAGTTTACAGCAAGCTTTGTGTTGCTCGTGTGGGTTTCCCACCGTAGGAGCCTCGATGAATAAACTGAAGGTTCCGGTGTGCTGGAGTGGCATCGTTACGCCTGCGCTGCTGCAGAACCCTCTCCTCCTCGCCGAGGGCATTGGGACTCTTCCAGTCAGGGGTCCCCTTGGACTCCTTGAGCCTCTTGGGTGTGTTCCTCAGGCTTGGGGAAGCTGCTCTTTGCTGGCGTCTCTTGATACTTTCTGTGACTTAACGTGCAATTATCTAAGTTCAATATAGACAAAATGCTGTTACTTTTTAAGGCCCTGTTCATTCAAAACATGTCACTCAATAAGGGGAAAGCATTTGTTCCTGTCACTTTTTAAAATATAAAACAATATAGAAATGTTTGTGCATGTACATGTGTGTTTATTATTTTTTTAATATTTATTGTGTGTGTGTGTGTGTGTGTGTGTGTGTCCAGCTCAGCCCACCAGGGGGTGCAACTGGCTGGCATGTGGTGCTGGAGGATTGAACCGCGGTCCCTGTGCTTTGCCAAGCTTGTTCCAAGTAGGTGCTTTAGACCACTGAGCCATCTCTCCAGCCCCTACATGTGTGTTTAGAATCTAGAGTTTATAGGTTTAATTATGGGAACATTTTGCTTTACAAAATACAAAGTTTTCACTAACCGTGTCACAAAATCATGACAGTGAACTTGAAATGATCTTATCACAGAAAAAAATGGGTGGATGTGATTCAACCTTGATTCTCCACATACCAACCCAGAGGTCTCCAGACAGCCCTGGGCTCCACCAGCGCTGTAGACTATTGCCACAAACATTTCTTTCTTTCTTTCTTTCTTTCTTTCTTTCTTTTTTTTTTTTTTTTTTGCGGAACCAGGGATTGAACTCACAGCCTTGCTCTTGCCAGGGAAGCGCTTATTCCACTGAGCCATCTCCCCGGCCCGCCACAAGCATTTCAAGGATGGCTTTTATAAGGCAGTGTGGTCAATTTCCAAATCTAAATACGTGGGCCTCCTCAGCCCTATAATGAATCATAACTGTAGCTGTCTCTCCCTGCTAGCAACCATCTTCAAAATCTGAGGCTCAGCTTGCTACGTGACTCGCTTTCCCATTTTGTACCGGATTTAATCAATTTTTACCTGAGCAATGGTGCTTGTGATCCCATTGGTTGACGATAGATTTGTCCCACCTCTCATCCATCTAAGTGAGTCCCCATTTTCTCTATCTTGGCCCAATGTGATTTTGCCCTGTAAAAATAAGCTGGAACAGACAGCTTCCTGGGCAACCCACTCGGGCCCCCCTTCTGTCCTCTCTGAGACAGAAGCTTTCTTTCCCAATAAATATTCTACTCTCAAGAAAAAAAAAAAAAATCTGAGGCTCAGGTATGTGGTACACACCTATAATCCCAGCACTCGGGAGGCTGAGGCAGGAGGCTCTCTGCAGATTCAAGTCCAGCATGGACTACTTAGTTCAAGGCCAACCTGGACTCCATAGTTTACTACACAGCTCCCAAATCTGAGGCTCCCTGTCTAGCATACTTTCCCAGGTCTTTCACCCCCTCCTCATATGCAGCACAATAGCATAAACCTGAGGCAGGCCAGCAAGACAGCTCAGCAGACTAAAGTGCCTGCTTAGGCAAGCACAGGGACCGCAGTTCGAACCCTGGCACCACATGCCTCGCCAGCCCCGCCCCTGGGCAGGCAGAGCCAGCCAGAGTCCTGGTGCAGTGGCGCAGGCCCATGATCCCAGCGCTGGGGAGGCTGAAAACAGAATCACTACTAATCCAAGCTGCATGGTGTGACCCAGTGAAGATGGGGACAGATGGAGACGGCATGAGCAGCACATGCTGACCCTGCCTCTTCCCTAAGTCTCATTTAAGCTCTGGTAAATTTTTCCAAAGGAACCAGATTGGGTTCTTTCTATAGATTTTTCTAGTGAAATAAAAGTGTATTATAGTAGCGATGTTTGAGATGAGATCAGAGGTTGTGGGCAGAGGGGTGACAAAAAGAAGCGGGAGGATTCCTAACTGGGACTACTGGTGTCCTGGGGGAACTGCAGTGTGGCCCTGTCCTTTTTGTCCAACTTGGCAGGCCCATCTCCAGGGCCTGGGGACAGGCAAGGTAGTTATTTAACCATTTTCCAAGGCTAGCCAAGTAGCACATCAGCCAAAGACCCTGAGATTAAGTACTTGCTTTCTTAGCCCCTGAATCATACGCTTGAATAACTTGATACACCTCTCTCCAGACCTTCTGTAGAAATTCGTAAGATTAGTCGTCCCTTTGTGACATCTTATTTCTTTTTTTTTCTTAATTTTATTTGTGTGTGTGTGTGTGTGTGTGTGTGTGTG